GACCACAGATGAGGGAGGGGTCATTGAAAGAGGCTCTCTGGAGACCGAGAGGGGAAGACGGGACATTGGGTAAGACAAGACAAGAGCTGCCCACTCGACACCCTCAGCTCCTACCCTGCCATCAGCCCCTGCCCTGTCACTGTTTGCTGAGCAGCTGCCCCGCTGGCACTGCTGGGCCCTAGGGATAGACATCGTCTCTGCCCTCCTGGAGCTTACAGTCATGAGGAAAGATGGATCCTGGCCCTGTGTCAGGGGGCTGAGTGCAGGGGAGTACAGGGGCACCGGGAAGCTCCTCTGTCCGTCTCCTGCCCAGAAGTGGGAGCATCACACGCTCTTGAGGGCTCCACGTCTGCCTGGAGTCACCTCCGTGTTGTTGCTCATCACACTGTCCCTTTGTCTGCCTCTCCCAGCTGTCACTAGACTGTGAGCCCTGAGCTACATGGAGCTCAAAACTAACATAGGGGCTGAGGGTGGGAGGAATGAAGGAAGGAGGGAAGGAAAGAAGGAAGGAAGGAAGGAAGGAAGGAAGGAGGTGGGGGGGGAGGGAAGAAGGAAGGAAGGAAGGAAGGAAGGAAGGAAGGAAGGAAGGAAGGAAGGAAGGAAGGAAGGAAGGAAGGAAGGAAGGAAGGAAGGAAGGAGGAGAGTGGGTGGGTGGGAAGAAAAGATACACTGATACACTGCATATACTAGATTTTAGCTCATGTCCTGCTTCTCTTCTGATGAAGGTTCTTCAAACTTGACTCTTGTTGGGTGGCCATCTTAACCTCCACGTTGAGAGTGGGAGTGAGATGGTTTTCTTGCAGGGTGACAGCTGATGGCACTGCCCTTACAATAAATCATAGCAGGGGGCTGGGCCTGTCATCTGCTGGAACCCTCTGCTTCTAACAGGGCAATGGCCACACGACTGACCCCAGATGGTGGCTGTTTCCATGTCCAAAGTCTTTCTCACTAGGTGGCCTGTTTTCATATCTCATCAACCCTGGAACCAAGACAGTTTTCTTGGATAAATCCCAACATGGTGGAGGTGGCTGTCTTTGTGTTGAGGAATTATGGGTAACTTTTTCTCATTTGTTCATTTGAATTTCCTCATTTTTATTTAAATAAAATAATGGTGAATCACTTTCAAAATAAAGAAAATCAAATTAGTTATTTTTAAAGGGAATCTTTTCTCATGCACTAAATAAGCTCACTTTCTCCATGACAATAAAGTGCTGCCACCCCTGCCACTTCAGAGAAAACCACGGGCATGAACTCCCGCCTGTCTCCCAGATGAGGATCGAAGAAGCTGAGTGACAGGCCCAACAGCACAAAACTATAAATAGCAGAGCAGCCAAGTCAAACCTGTCTGTCTGATTTCAAAACCCGTGTTCTTTATGCCGCCCTCCCTTATGTTGAACATCGCAAGAAGTGTTTATTCAGCCAGATGGACACAGCCGAGGCTCAGCCCACTGCTTGTTTCTTCCTTCTACCGTCTCACCCTGGAACTGAAAAAAATTCACATGGTCCCAGAAATCAGAAAAACGACTTCTGCTACTACTCAGGCTAGTTACCACTCCTAGTCACAGCCGCAGTGTTAGTAATGGCAACTCCACCGTGGAAGAGCTCACTAAGTACCTAACGGTGCTAAACTTTAAGTACTTTGACTGCATGGACTCATCTAATACTCCTGAAAGTGCTATGAATTACGTAATATTTTGATCCTGCTTATGGGTGAGGAAAGAAGGCTTAGGTAGAAAGGTGAAATACCCTGTCCGAAGAGACACAACAGTTAAGTAGCAGGGTCAGATCCCAGCCCCAGGTCTAGTCTGACTCCAGAGCAAAAATACTGCACTGTACTGTTGTGCTAGTGTCCGAAGGCTGGGATCCCGCAGAGGGTGAAACAGGAAGATGGGGAAGGTGGAAGGCTGTGAAATGTGGTCCTTGGCTTTTCCTTTCATAAAAGGAGAGAGACAGAGAGAGAGAGAAACAGAGCTGCTGGGCTGAGCTGTAGCTCCCTCCCCCACAGCAGATCACTTGCCACCCAAACTTGAGTTTCACCCACACACAAGTCTGCAGTTTCAATGTGGGTTAGCATGCAGGCTGGGTCAGGGTCTCTTTCTCTTTCTGAAATGCAAATGCAAAATGACATTTTGCATGAAAGTCCTGGTGCCCCAGGCTTTGCTCCCAGCCACTGCATTTCATTTTCTTTGTTTTGATTTCCTTTAAGGCTACACCAGGATAAGAAAATTTTTGCAAAGTAGCTGCTCGTTTTTAGTATCCACCTGCTAAATTGTCCAACCCCCACCCAAACTACCCCTCCTGTTTCTATAGCAGGTGTAGCTTGTAGCTGCAGCACATTTCGCCCAGCATGGGACAGATGGAGGGGACACAGCCATCACAGTGGGACAGAGTTTTTTTAAAATACATGTTTAGACCTTCCTCAAGGCCTGGTAGGGAAATGTGGCATTGATGCAAAACATGCCAAGTTAGCAGGTGTCTGCTCTGCTGTGCTGTATGAGCAATGGAGGCATTCCTCTTCAGGGGGGAGGGAGGCGGTTGTCACCCCGGGCTGCACAGGCAGATCATCTTTCATCTGATTTGTTTAGAAGTAACTGCATCAGAGTATACTTGGAGAAGCATGACTGGGAAATGGCACAGGAATCTTACGGACCTGGTGAATCTGGCTTCACCAAATCTGAGTGGTATGACAGCAGAAGTCAAATTGTTGCTGGGCAGCTGCGTCTGGGGGGTCTCTCCCTGCTCACTAGGTGAAGCACTAGGAGAAACCTCAGCCTGGATGGGGGAGGGCTCTTGACTCTGAAGGAGAAAGAGCTCTCGAGCAGGTCAGAAGGGTATAGGTTAGGAAGGAATTCATTAAAGTAAGAATGGCAGGAAATGGCAACTGCCTTGCAGGCAGCAGAGAATAGGAAAGTGCAGAGGAAAAGAGGGAAAGTTCTCAGCCTAGGGCAGATTCCCTTGCCAACTCCTGAAGCCAGGGTCACCTGGCATCCTGTGTCTGCTTGGATCTGCAAGGCACGGGGACTAGCCCCTACCACTCCAGGATTTTGGGGAGCCATAGAGCACAGGGTGGAGGGAGATAATGTTATGAGAACTTCCAAAAGAAAGATTTTCAGGCAGGTTACTAAAAGCAGATCACACAATGGCAGTTTCATCGAGGTCACCCAGGTGACAGAAACATGCAGGCCCAAATCTGAGCTCTTAACAGCCCTTTCCTACCTATCAGGAGTAAAGCGGAGAGAGAGTGAGGACTCAGAAATAAAATGAAATAGCAAAGAGACAAATTGCAATAATTTGAGCAGTGAGAAAGCTTCATTTGAAAGTACGCACTTAAAGAAAGGAAAGCACGGTCATCCTCCGAGTCGGGAGGCACACTGAAAGTTTGGGGATTCTGTCTTTTAAGGCTTTCAAGAATGGGGCAAAGGGCAGGAGGGTTGTTGGGCGTAGGCTTGACTTGTGGTCTCCAGGTGCTTATCTCTGGTGAGAGACCCCATGTCCCCTTTCCTTTATTATCAGTTATCCAGCTAATTCTGCTTAATAAACCCAACACAAGGAATTTATTTATTCTGTTCTTCTCCAAGATAATGGTTACCCTCAAGTAGTGGGGACATATCAGTTATGACTGCATGCCCTGCCTTAAGATAGGCTGTTAGGAATCTTACTTCTTAACTCTCTGCTTTTTAAAATGGAATCTTAGCCTTAAGACAGAGTCCCTTCTGTTCTTACTATACTGTTTATATCTCAGCATTTTTCATCATAGGCAGGAAAATTTAATCATGATGCTTGTCCCATGTCCCTGACCTACCTCAAAATGTTTTCTCTGAAGTTCACCTTTCTCATCTTTAAAATGCAGGCATGTCACAGTCTGTTTGAGCTCACCAAAGATCCCCATGCTTCCCTACATATCCCAGCCCCACATCCCCGATATGTGAGGTCAAGTGACTAACCCTCACTCAGGGCAGGTAAGAGAAGGGACATATCACTCCTCAGCCTGAGGCAGTGAAGCAGGCAACCTTAGGGGCCATCTGTGGCCAATGGCATGGTTATAAGACTAAGGCAGGCTGCCTGGCCCACATCAGGAATTACATGGGTTTGCCTGTTGTGGCAGCTCACACAAGTAATCCTTGGCAGGACTGTGAGGAGGATTATAAATAAGGCAAATAAAGCATCTGGCACATAGTAGATGCTCTATCAAAATGGCAGCTCTTCCATGAGCTGGCCACAGCTATAGAAACCTCTACAAGCAGAGGTCCTAAAGCAAGCCAGATATGGCTAAGTGATTTCTCTCTTACATGGTGTCTTATTCATGTTAAATCTCCGAGCAACTAGATTTGGAAAGTTTGAGATACAAGACAAAGATAAAGGTCAATTTGGCTCTTTTCATTTAATCTCTTGCCTCCTGGAAAACTTTTTCCTAAGTTAGTATTTCCAGAGAGTGACTCAGGCAATATGTGATCTTGAAGGCACCAGCCAGCAGACTGGGCAAGCCAGCAGACAGACTCAGGTGAGAATTGATACTGCGGCCTGGAGTCCACAAGCTGGAAACTCAGGCAGAATTTCAGTGTTGCAGTCTGGAAGCAGGATTCCTTCCAACGCAGGAAACCTCAGTTTTTGCTCTTAAGCTCTTCAACTGATTAGATGAAGCTCACCCACGTTTCAACTGATTAGATGAAGCTCACCCACGTTCTGGAGGATAATCTGCTTTACTTAAAGTCAACTGATTGTAAATGTTAGTCACATCTAAAAAATACCTTCAAAGCAGAATGCAGACTAGTATTTGGCAAACAATACAGCACTACAGTCTAGTTACAAGGACAGAAAACAACCCAAACATGAATGAAGGGGCTCATGTAGAGAATACTTCAGGGGAAATTCTAATTTCAGATGTACCTTGAAAAGGTCTCAGAGTCACCAGGACCCAATCTCTTCTCAACTCTGCCTTATTATATATATATATATATACACATAATATATTATTATATATATTATAACACACACATATATATAATTTGCCAATGACTCCATTTATTTATAATACTTTTCTCAACCCAAAATGCACTAAATACATGTGATATAAAAAGCAATATTCTGACATTACTATTTTAAGCAAAAACAATTTTCTCCACACAAGTTTCTGGCCAGAGAGTTTCAGATAGAACAAATCTGAATTGCAGGCAACATTTTCTTTGGGAATATATACCAAACAAGAGGGATGGGAAGAGAGCGTCTTCTACGACCCTTCAGTTGATTGTGCAATGGCACCATTTTTCCACATTTCAAAGCACTCTGGTGTTTTGCCTTTATTTTGTCCTTAACGGGACTTTTCTGTGTTATATCTTTATTTTAACTGCAATTTCAGTTTAAGGTAATCATGAGACCCAAGAAAGTTGGAAACTTGGTAAAAAAAAAAAAAATGATTCAAAAGAAAAATGTACCTCCTAAAAAAAGGGTGTCTGCTGTCCATTTTTCATTGACCGTCATCTACTGTGGAACCACCTCTCTGGGGAGAATAATAAACTTTTTCTACATTATATTTTATGTGCAAACTGCAATTTATTTACTTTGAAGTGGATATTGATTATATAAACTTGCAGGGAGAGGTGCATGCAGACTCGCCATGGTTACAAGCTCCTCATAGAATCCTTTAATGAAAATTAATGTTCGAGAATCATGGCCTGGGATAATTATAGGGGAACATTTATCCAGGTGGTTTGCTCTTCATCGCATTTCCCAGTCCTTTCCCTCTCAATGGCTAGTGTTTGCAAAAAGACAAATTAATATTACTTTCATTATTATAACGAAGAGCAGCAGATTACAATTAGGAGGGCAGAGCTGATTATTTTTTTAATCAGAGCACCAAATTAAATGTTTCTTCTCAATTATCCAGTTGCTCATTCTCTTTCAGTAAGGCAGTTGATTCCACGCAGACTGCAAATTGGACAGCTTCTGGATATTCAGATTGAAAGCATTCATCAAGGCACTCCTAAATGGTTGTCAAATTTTGGCAAACCTAGATCAGAGAAAGGAGAAAAGAGTATCCTGTGTATATGAAGTATTCATCCATATACACAGAAAATGCAATATCTAGTACAATCATTATGCACTCGTGTGCAAGCACGTGCACGTGCACACACAAACAAATTAGCTCAAATAATCATAAGTAGGAAGGATGGAACTTCAAGTTGGAGTAACATTTTTTTCCCTAACAGTTCCTTTGAAAGGCTAGAGGTTTTTGCCCCTGTTCCCAGCTTGGTACTTAGTTAACTACCATTTCATGTTTTTTATCTCCACCTGTACCACTCCCTCTAAAACAGAAATCCTGATAAGGTAACAGGTGGGTTTTCCCCATACTTCTAGTCCCTAAAGTTTATTCATTAATTCATCAACTATACACACATACATTTTTACATGTAAAAGAAGACACATTACCCATTTTGTTACTATGGAGTCATAAATGTGCAAAACATACACTGCTGATGTGAACTCATTATTGGCCACAACAATGTAGATGGTCCCCAAACTCACAGACTTTAAATTTAACAAAGGTGGTTGAATAACAAAAGCATTATGGTATGAAAAAGGATATGACTTGAGAAGTATAAAATGGGAAACAATAAGGAACTAATCTAATCTAATTACCCTCAGCCCAGTACAGGTGTGGAAATTGCCGTCCACTCCTTTAGATTCTCATCCTTGAGTGTTGGAGGAGACTTGTGAGTCATTCTTGACTTCTGATATCAACTAGACCCTTGGCTTATTAGCTTCTGGATATGTTCATATGTGAGGGAGAGGGCTGTCAGTACTATAGGGACACTGAGCTCTTGGCTTTAAAAGAAGTACTTCAAGAAATGATGCAGCAAATACATTCAGTTGAATGAATATTTATGACATATCTACTATTTTCAAGGCACTGAGATGAACACAAAAATGAAGTCAATAGTCCTTATTTCACAGGTCTTAATGCAAGAGTATGTATATATGAGGTCAGGTGGACAGGAAACAGGAAAAATTGGAGAGGGCATTAAAGAAAAACAAGTCAAAGTATGTACACAAAGAATCAAAGGAGGGATCTTATTCCATAACGAGGCTGTATATGAGAGTGTGTAGGATAGAAATATCCTAATTCTGATCCAAGTTCTTCTGGGAGAAAACAAATAACATGATCAGAACAGTGGGTAGGGGGGTGACCTGAAAGCAACAGATGACATAAACCCTGCAGCTCAGATATTGGCATTCCAGGAAGCCTTCCCTGCCCACACTCCCCACTCTCCTAGTCCGGCAAAACCTCTTTACTGGTGCTGACTCTGTACTTGACTTACCCGATTTAAATGCAACTGTACTTTGCACTTTCCCTGCCTCTAGACTCAGAATCTCGAGGCCTCAGCATTGTAAACTCGGCACACAGAGGCAGGGTCTGGCCCTTGGTAGAGACTCCATAAACGTCTGCTGAGCACAACTGGATGCCCAGTGCAGCACAGAATATATCATAAGTTCTCAATAGCTAGTAGACTAGGTGCTGCCACTTCAGAAATGAAGGGGTAAAAGTTTTACAAACCATCTTTCCAAGCTTCTCACAGTTACTGTACAAAGAATTAGCCAGAGAGATTGGTGAAAATGAAGACCCCTCAGAAATTTGGATTGGAGTTTAAGCTCCCCAGCTGATTCTAAAGCAGGTATCCCCACACCACACTTTCAGAAACTCTGTTCTCATTGCAGAACTTCCTAGCAAGTTGATGCTTGCCTTTCTGATTAAATTGTTCAGGCTCATGTGGAAACCCAAAGAGAAGGAATTTATGCAGTTTGTACCATCAGACAAACAAAAATAATGTTTTCACTTCTGACAGTTGGGTCACAAAATGGCTCTTTAGGTAAAAATGTTCTGTTGAGACATTACTGGTCAGTCTGGTTCCGACTAGCATGATAGTGTAGCCCATAAAGCTGAGCACACATGCAAATGTGTAGTTACCATCGGGTGAGGTACATGGCAAAGTCTCTGCACAGACCCAGAGAGCAGCCTGCAGCCACACGACAGGAAGTGGGTATCTTAGAAGAGCTTTAAACAAATGTCATTAACTTACAAGAGCTGAAGAATTAGGATTTCTGGGTTGACTTCAGGACCCAATTTTCTAACTAGCAGACTCAACGAAACTTAGCTATATCAATACCTGACCCCAGAACCCTGGAATGCCAAAAAATTAAAGGAAGCATCGATCAGAGTGTCAGCAAATCTATATAGGCTGGAGTCCTAAACAAAACAAATTTCATTAAGCCTTATTGTGATTTCAGAATTAACACAAAGATTTCATAAATAGGGCAGCATAATGTCCAGAGCAAAGGCCAATAAACTAATATGAATTGCAGACCTCAGTCTCCAAGCTATGGGAGTTGGCCCCTGGCAGCCGTATTGAAGTGAAGGTAATTAACACAATCCATCTTGCAATGGGTTGGTTCTATGTAGGCTGTTTGAAATTCTGTATGCATCTCACCCAGACCCCAGTAACCTGTTGAAAGATGATGAACCGTGGCAGTCAGCACACAGGGGGGTCGTTAAATGACTAAGAGATGGTAGAGAAATCACAGTTTGTAACTGAGGTCATTTCATGGGCAATTTGCCAGCTATTTGGGAAACTATAAGATAAAGGCCTCTTAAAATGAGGTATTTATAAAGTGCAGTGCTATGAACCTATAAAAGTATTTTTAAAACGATTTAAAATTAAAAAATTCATATTATTTCCTATGTCCTGATGCCTGAACAGTTAATTCCATCTATTTTGATGTAAGGATTTTGGAGACAGGATGAGAATACTATTCAATTTGAGCAGGAACAGAAAGTGTTCTTCAGGACAGATCACCAGGACCCTTCCCGTATGTAGTCCTTGCTCTCTATTATTACTCAGCAGAAAGCCTTCTCAGGTAGGTGATTATGCACATCTTTGTCTAGACATTGATAACAGGGAAGACTTACTGAGCACAGGTGGTGGCTTTGAAGTAGCTGGCCAGCCTGGGAAACAGTAACTTGACAGCATCTTGGAAAAGAAAGAAGAAATATTTCAAAGTTAGTTTTAAATGACCCAAGCTGGAATGAAATACAGGAATCTGAGTAATAATTTGGGAAATGATTACTTACAGGCAATGGTTATCATCAATAAGCATGTGAAGATGGGGGCTAATATTCCTCCCAGGAACCATCTGAAACAGGATTGCTCAGGTGAGCTGATCATACATTTTCAGCACATGAGATGTTCTTTAGAGTTACTGTAGACTTATGATTTAAAAATCTATAAAACTACATTAAGAAAGATAAAATGGTATGGGGAAAAGGATAGACATATAGATCAATGGAAGGGAATTGAGAGCCCAGAAATAGGCCCATACAAATACAGTTAACTGATTTTTAACAGAGGCACAGAAGGGATTCCATGTTTCAACAACCGGTGTTGAAACAATTGTGTACCCACATGCGGTAGTGCAAGCCTCCACATATGCATCACACCTTAATGCAAAATTTAACTCAAAATGAGTCATAGTCTGAAATACAAACCGCAAAAAGTATAAAACTTCTAGAAAAAAACAAAGGAGACAATCTGTATGCCTACTGCTTCAAAACCTTGCCAAAAAAAGTGTGTTAAAATTTTGGGGTTTTGCCAGTCTGACAGATGATTGTATCACAGGGTGGAATTTTTAAAAAAAGAATAAGGTTTTTATTGTTTTTATTTTCAAAATATGAATTGTTGGAAGAAACTGGAAAAAAAGTACTAAGGAGAATGGAAAATATTGTAAAAACCTCTATCGCCCCGAAGTAGTCATTATTCAAATTTGATCAATATCCTTTCAGACAGTTTATTTCCATTTTTAAAACTTTCTAAATTGAGATTTAACAAATGTACTTACAAAGCATATAAAGTACACATCCTGTTTGCCTGCTTTACCTAACCCCTATAATCGCTATCCAGACCAAACTATGGATGATTTCCAGCACTCTGTAAGATTTCCTTTGTTCTTTCTTCCCACTCTTACCCGGCAGAATGAGCCACTACTCGTACAACTGTGGTCATTGATTAGCTTTGCCTCTCCTTGAATTTTACATGTAAATACAATTACACTTTTCCATCATCTTTCACTTCCATAATGTCTATGAGATCCATCCATGCCCTTGCCCATATCAATAATTCCTCTTTAAACCAATTTTTTACTTAGATAAGCTTTTTAAAATTTTAGAATAATTTAAAATGTACAGAGAAGTTGCAAAGGGTAGTACCGAGGGATTTCTCATACCCCTCAGCCAGTTTCCCCTGTTGTTAGCATGTTACAATATCAAGGCAAGTTTGTCATCATTAAGGCACCAGCATTAGTGCATGACTATGAACTCAGTTCCACACCTCATTTGGACTTGACAGTTTTCCCATAATTTATCCATGTCCCAGGATCCCATCTAGGATGCCACATTACATTTAGTCATGTCTCCTTAGATTCCTCTGGGCTTTGATTTCTCAGACTGTCTTTGGTTTTGATGACTTGACAATTTTGAAGAGCACTGGCCCATTATTTGTAGAATGTCCCTTAATTTGGATGTCTCATGGTCACACTAGGGTTCAGAAGATTATAGAAGTTCACCTGCAGGTGCCATACTCACCGCATCATATCAAGGATATATGCTATCAACATAACACATTCCTGTTGATGTTAACCTTGATCATCTACAGTAGTGTTTGCCAGGTTTCTTGTCTGTAAAATCACCTTTTTTCCATCTGTCCAAACTTTTTGGAACCAAGTTTCTAAATGCAGCTCATACTCGAGGGATGGGGAGTTAAGCTCCTCTCTTAAGGGAAGAGTATCTATAGAAATTAACCAAACAGGAATGTCTCATTAATAGTCCCGCTGAAATAAAGGAAAGGGTTCCATGATCAACTAAGTTGGGGCACACTAGGTTAAAAATGCTCGGGGGGCATATTTCCTCACTACATTTCACTGGGCCTTTAGTATGCCAATGCATGTTGTGATTCTCCAACATGAGATATATTCAGCAGAATTTTGCAAAATTATTTTTAACCACAGGACCTCACCTACTTTTTGTTTTTTGGTTCCACTGTGATCTAAAAATACTTCTCAAACCTCATAATTATCTAGGAGGGTTGATTTAAAATACACATTCTCATTAGACCCAAATTAGTATCTTAAGGGATGGGATCCAGGACTTTGTATTTCAAAACACAACTCCCCCCAAGTGATGTGAGGTATTTGACTCTCAAGAGGTGGGACTTGAGAGCAAGCAGCACTTGCTGACCAGGGTGCCAGGATCACAAGAATCGCAGGACTATGCTATCCATCCCCGTTTCACTAATTCAACAAATACCCATGAGCTCATGTGGGGCTGAGGATACAGAAGTGAAGGTGATGCATGTCTCCGCTTTTAGGGGGCTCACATTCTTGTAGAGAGGGATAGATCATTAACATTTAAACAAGTGAACATAGAATAGGTTAAGCGGTGGTAAGTGCTCTGAAGAAAAGTAAAGTGACAAGTGTTATGACAGAGTGGTGTGCTTTTTATACAGGGTTATCAGGGAAGGCCTCTCTGATGGTGATGTGACAGTTGAACAGATTCCAGAAAGAAGTAGGGGCATATGTTATGAGGCGTTCTGTAGTAGGCAGAATAAACAGCAAGTGCTAAGGCCCTGAGGCATGAGTGGGCTTAGCACAGAAGAGATTTGATCACTGCCCTGGAGACTTGGTCAAGAAAATAATAGGAAAGACATACGGGACAGAGAGCAGAACAGAAAGACTCCTGTAATCAGGCAAGAGCATTATGTGCTCTGAGACGCTGAGTGGGCTTCTCTGGAATAGAACTTTATGTTGGGATACACAAATACAATGGGAAAGATGGAATCCCAGTAAGGACTCCCAACTCCCCTACTGCAGTCTTCAAGTGCCCTTGAACTCCAAGCAGGGTTATGTGGACTGTATCTGAAACAGGGAGTCACTGGGGATTGAAACAAAGGATGATACATGGTAAAATGCAATTTGCAAGATCCACTGGCTTTTGTGTGCTCTGTGAAATAATGGGAGGAGGGAGGTGATAGACACAGGGACACTTATTGTGGACAGGCAAATGGACAAGTCTTAATCACAGAGCAACCTGAAATGCTTTGTGGAATAAGGCAAGGAAATTATCAATCAATTACAGCTTCATTAATTATGAAACACCACTGCGAGAAAATAAAATTTGAATTACCTCCCACATGCAGAAATGATTAAGCAGGCAGCAAGCATAATTGCCTGAAAAGAGACCTCTCTCAACAAACTGGTTCCTAAAAGGAAAAATAAAAATGAATGAATTAGAAACCATTGCTGACAAAATAGTCTTGGAACAATAAAATCATACTAAAACTTTTTCACATTCTAAAACAAAAAAATTTTCAAATGTATGTCAGCTCAAGCTATTTGTCATAAGTAACAAGACAAAATGATCAAATGTTGTACAGAGCTATTAGAAAATTTCTGCAAATAATCATTTTTTTCTATCACAAAATAATAAATGATCACGTTACATAAACAGTTTGGGGCATTCTGTTCATTTTAATTTGGGGAAAGCCTTTATAAAATGTATGCTAATGTCAGAAATTGGATTCTGGTGATGATTAATCATACCTAAAATTTGTAGAGGGCCATATAATTCACAGAGTTTTTATAGATTGGTTCATTTAATCAACAGAACAAAACTATGAGGTAGGAGCCATTATCACAACTATGCAAATGAGGAGACCAAGACAGAGAAATGAGGACGTTTGTCTAAGGTCACGCAGCTCTGAAGTGCCAGAGCCAACATTTAAAAACCACATCTAGCCAGAACATAGTGTTTTGCCTGAAAGGGGGCAGGGAAAGAGAATTGGAACTTCGTATACTGGGAGTCTTTAAAGGGCAAAAAAGAGACTATGTATTATGAACTATTTGTCCTTGCAAAACTCTTTGCTATCAGCAAAATGCCTCGGTGTTATTGAAGCACAGCAGAAATAACAGCAAACCCTCCAAGAGTTATATAAATAAAAATGTAAGAGTTAAACCAATTAGGTACCTAAATGAGATTCCAATCACCTAAATGAAATCAGAGCTGGCTTAAGGATTACCACATAAAGATCTACAGGAAAGTATAAACAGACCTCAATTTTGCCAAATGCTTTAAAACCTCAAGTTTGTAATGGCTCTTTTAAACTTGGAATGACTTCATGCTCTAAATATATTTATTTTTGCTATTTATGCTGTGAATGAACAAAACCTACTTAAGCGCATAACACAGGTGGACTACTAAAGCTTGGCAGTGCAAAACGGAGCTGTTGTGAATGATGTCACAGCAAATGTACAGTACTTCATGTCTACTATGAACTGAAAAGTTATTGTGGATTCAGTTGAACATTCGACCATGCTTCCAGAATATGTTCGTATTCTTAGCCTCCTTTGATTTCATGTAGAATTTGGAAAACATTTCCTCAAAGCAACAAGTCTAGCTTGACATACTGCAAAGCTCACTAGACTGAATACTGAAGGGCACCTGGGTTTAAATTTAAGTTCTACAAAGATATGTATTGTAGGATTTGGGCCAGGATATTCATTGATTCATTGCACCGGTAGCCATTTGCTTAGTATCTATTTTGGCTTGGTGCAAGTGTAACCTCCTTCAGGAAGTCTTCCTTGACTGTTTCAAGTCCCCTTGGCCCTTCCATGTCCCCTCTCTGTACTCCCATCATACCTCATGCATGTCTCCATCAGCAATTGCTGTTTCATTTCTCTGTATTTCCCCACTAGACTTCAATGAGAATAGTCAGCAGCTACTTGCTGCCCTTTGGTTGAACTTTTCCTTGGGGAATGACCGCTCCCCTTCTCTTAGTGAATGTTTCATGTGGAGAGACGGATTCCCTCCCAGCATTTGATCCACTCCAAGATTTCACAGACTTAACAAAGTGATTGGTTTTGTCAGGTAAATGGGAGCCTTCCAAAACAATGAAACCGGGCCTCTTGTTATAACTTGAGAAGGGTTATTATAATCTCTTTGTGCCGGACTGGAAATTGGGAAGTTGTAGGCACAAAGCATCCCAGAGCCACCATGGATTAATAGCCTTTTAAAGAGTAAAGCTGACGTGGAAGAGCAGAGAGAGCAATTAGAGACTCCTGGAAACCTGAGATCTGCCTGGAATTTTCATGAATATGCACCACTGAATTCTGTTACTGACTACTCCATTTTGAGCTGGGTTTCCATCTACCAGAACCCCAAAATTCCTGGCTGATAAAGGTGATGCTGCGTGTATCTATATGCTGCATGTGGGGCATCACCTGGAGCAGACTACACACTCAAAACCTACATGTGAAGGAGATGCGGCAGAAGCTGCTGGAGACTTTGTCCACCCGAGGCTTCAGAGCCGGTGAGTAAGAGGAAGAATTTCAATACAGACAGACATGGAGGGAATCACAGGGAAGCGCTACTTCCCACAGCCAGAGGGGGCAGAGAGGGACCCACAGAGGTGCCCTTGTTGACTTGGGCCTTGGAGAAGGAATAGGGGTCTTACAGATATAGCCCGTGGGGGACACATTCCAGACACAGCAAAGAATAGGTACAAAGGCTTACCTGACCTGTCTAAAACTTGAGTATTCATAACTATAAAATGGAGACAGTAGATTTAACTCTCTTCCAACAGTCATGGAGCACCTGCTCTGTGCCAGGCACTATGTAGGCAGTTTGGAATCCATAGATAACTTAAGACAAAGTGCCAACCCTCAAAGAGCTCAGAGCCTGGTGGGTGAGACACAGAAGTAAATATGTAACAGCAGTTCAGGAAATGGGCATGAGAGAGGGAAGCCCTGGGAGCTAGAGGAGTACAAAGAAGGGTCACTTAAAACCTCCTCCCCAGAAAATAGGGTGGGCTTCCTGGAGGAGGTGGTGTGGGGCTTTAGTGGGTGTCAATCACCTGGAAAGTGTCTAAAAAATAAAAGACCCTTTAATACTTATCTAACAGCTGCACTGGGAATGAAATGGAGCAGGGCGTATTGGTCTTTGGGAGTAGAAGAGGGGATGGTCAGTGAAGTGGATATTCATGATTTTGTGAAAACAGAGAAGATAATATCTTTCTGTTTAGCTTCAATTTTATGTAATTATAACTTTACGTTTAGAATATATGATACATGATGCTAAGTACTTTAATGAATTACTTTAGTCATTACAAGGTAAGAACTCTGATTATGTCCGATTACAGATGAAAATGTTAAGTTTTGGAGAATTCAGGAACCTGCTTCAGGGTCACAGCTAATAAGCGGGAGCTGGGTTCTGAACCTCGGCAAGCTGGCGACAGAGCCTCGATGCCACAGTGTGTGTTGTCCTGATTCGTGTAGCAAGCTGGAGACTGAAGAATATGCTCATTTGACTTATTTCAGATTTTCTCCTGGCAGGAGATACCAACACCTTTATGTCTTTTGACTTTTTCTCGCCAGGGCATAGCATTAAAGGATTTTTTTTTCTTCTCTCATTTTCTTTCCTTCTTATAAAACATGTCAAATACACAGCTAAGTATAAAGAATAAGATAACAGGCAACTGCGTATGTACTACCCACTTTAGCATAGCTTATCACTTTGCCAAACGTCTTTGGGGCTTTCAAAAAATAAATAAAAGACTGAAAACCCTGTCCTTCTGGTACCTCTAAGATGACTACCTCCCCTGGGCACTGGAAGCACCCTGGGTCCTGCCTGCCTCACACAGGCCAATACCAGTTCCTAAGTGTACTCACCTCCGGGTCATTCTTTGGCCCTGAAAGGCAGAGTTCTGTGGGTGTGGGGAAGATTTAAAAAGAACTCACTTGAATGGCCCAAAATACTGCCTTGGACCCGCGCAGAAGACGTCAGCTGGGACTGAAGAGACAGGCTGTGGGAGTTGTCTCTGGGCGCCTGAGATGTGACATGCTGGGAAGAGGAGGCTGTCACACGCTCTGCATTCGGCTTCGTCGTCTCCGCGTTATCAGTCAGAAAACAGTCAAAATCACCTCCTGGAAAAGCAGAGGGGCTCACTAGGGAGTGAGTGAGTGTGTGTGGGTGTGTGTTCGGTGACCAACACATGGTACCTAACAATTATAACAAAGGCTGCCCTCTTGAAGTAGGAGGGGAGATGGGTCTCTAGATGAGACGGCATTTCAAATTGTCTGCCTCCTTGAAGACTGAAGAGGAAAAGGCCACTCAGTGAAGAGATAAGCAAAGGCCAGAGGCATGAAAGTTTCATGAAGGAGGCTGATTCCATTGTGGGGAGAACAAAGTGACCAAGGAAGGCCCAGGGGAACATGAAGCTGGAAAACTTGGCTGGGGGCAGGTCACAGAAGGCACTGACTTCCAGGCAAAGAAGTTTGGAATTTACGCTACAGACAACAGAGAGATGGAGTGTCTCTGAGTGAGGGTGTACTCTATATATACTTCCATGGCATTTTTTTAATGTACATAAAATAATGTGTGATTTTGATATGTGATAAAATCAAAGTGGCCTTGCCAGAAACCATGAAGTGTAGCCTAAGATACGTGCAGAAGAAGGCACAGTATCTCAACCCTAACCCCCAAGTGAGTCAGGGGTTGTATGGATGGCATCTACGCCTCTCATCTTTATAAGACCGAACTCTACAGTAGAGCCAGCTTCTTTAATTTCTAATTCATTCATTCAGCAAACATTTATTGAATGTGACTATGTGCATCAGGAACTGACTTAGCTGCTAGGATACAATGGTGAATTAGATAGATGTTGTCTCTGCCCTCATGTGCCTTACATTCTGGCAGGGGAGAAAATAGCTCATGAGTAGTGTCATGAAGGAAATTCTCCCTCTGTAAAATTCCAGCATTGAAATGCTGGATAAAATATAATAAACATTTAAAAATATTTTTTTCATTCAAAAGGCTATTTACATATAGAATTTCAACATGTGCCCATATTTTTCTATGAAGGCCCATACATAAATACAGTTTACTGACCCTAAAATTTGCTTGACAGTCCCTCAAAACAGAAAAAGTCAAGTTCACTTTAAAAGCATACAACATCAAGTTTCAAACATGCTAAGGTAACTCCTACTAAGGATTGAGGTCTTCAACGCGAGGTCATCAAGGAATGATAGCTAATCCTTGGTTCTTGATTTGAGTCAGAATTACAGGGTACAGAACTCCCCAAAGCAAAGCTTCACTGGAAAGAATGAACATGTTAAGAATGTCTTTCAGTCACAGGGAAAATTACACACAGCACTTCGGCTCAACTACTGGAAGTCTTCCATTTGGCACATCTGGCAAAAATATGCCTCGGAATTCCCTTGATTTTTTCTGTGGTGGTCTGGGCGATAGCCACTCAAGGTTCAGAATGGCCTTGGATAAGAATTTGAGGTAATTTAGATTTCCTGGCTTTAAGCATTGAGCACTGGGTATGGCATCTGGGGAAACTGTCCTAATTTTCTTTTCCTTAGGGAAGCTCTGAAAAGGGCCTATAAAATTAGTTTTTTCCTTCCAGAGAATCTTCTTATTGTGCTTCTTATCGAACTAGGACAATTTCTATATGGTCCATATGAATCTTGGTTTCATTACTAGGAAAATACTCAAATCAACTAGGCAAACATTTACTGAACACAAAAAATTATAGGATACTCAGATAAACGGGAGAAACACACGTATAATAAAACACAGACACTTCTGAAATTCTAGTTGAGAGAGAGAGAGAGTGCGTGTGTGCTGGTCAGGCCCGTGAGAAGGGGTCAAGCACAGGGGATATATGTAAACAGATGCTATCAGTTTTTAAAAAGAAACATGATATGCTTTGGTGGAAACTTCAAGGACTTGGGCTTCAGAAAGACCCAAATATAACTTGTCATAAGGGTAATACAGGACAAGCTGTTTAATTTTTCTGACCCTGAGTTTCCTCATCTGTAAAATAGAACAATAGCTTCTACTTTTTCATTTGTGTGATAATTGAGTAAGACAAGGAAAAATGTAGACATTGTGAGATAAAATATAAACCAAGGTAATTGAAGATTCCATCGTTAATAATCAGATATAGTTCCTGGTTGTAGACCAAAAGGGAAGGTCTGCTCCATGGAGGGGGTGGGAAAATGATGGTCAGTCATCAACAGATGCTTCAAGGTAGAAGGGATTCTTAAGAACTTATCACTTCAGGAAAAAAATGCGTTTTATTAAACCACCTTGGGAAAGGGAATGTTTTACTTTGAGCTGGTATAGCTAGGAAATTGCTGTACAGTGACCTGGTCCCAGACATTTCCAGGCATGGAGTCTATCACATATGGCTGCTTTATTTTCCTGACTTCACTGTATGACAATGTCCCCTGTAGAGGCAAGTGCCCTAGAAGAGGGAAAGGACTATAACCTCTGCCACCTGCCTCATTGCAGAACTGAATACACCTAGCAGGAGGGTCTATAGGAAAGACGGACTTGAAGGTGGCAGGGAGTAGGCACAGCTCCTAAGAGGAGTTTAGACACAGGGATAAAGGAAGAGCAGTGCAGAGGAATGAGGAATCTAGGAGGTTATTTTCACTGTGAGGTAGAAACTTCAAGTGGAACAAGAATTTGAGCAGCCCTCGTTTAAAAACGGACAGGCTTTCTCAGCACTGGGAGCTGTCATGGATGTCACCGCATAAAGTGAGTCAGGAAAGCTGACAGCGGAGAGGAAAGACTGAGGCAGCCCACAAGTGACATCTCCAGAGAAGTCCCCAAAGCCAGAGGGCTTCAGGGAGTGGCGCAAGGGCAGAGCAAGAGGCAGAAGCTTTAGGGACACAGGGCAGGTGGGCCTACTTACTGCTCTACAGCAGTTATCACCCAGCTGCACACACTACACTGTTCAAGGAGCCGGGGTGGGAAGTCAGAGTAGCTGTAGTGCCCGCCTCCTGGTCGGGGAGGCACAGACGAATGCCCACAGTGCGGATACAGAGGCAAAGCCACAGCGAAGGCCCGCGGAACGTATCCAGTGGGAATCCAGCAAGACGTGCCTAAATCTGTTAGGGGGAATCTAGGGAGGCTTCCCAGATGAGGCAGCACTGAAGTGGAGACTTGAAAAGTAGGAGTCCTTCCAGAGAGAGAGCAGGAAGAAGGCCAGCAGAGAGATAAGGAGGAGGAAGAAGAGAAGACCGCAACCCACGAGGGAACAAGGCGGGTTCCCAGAGGAGTGAGCTGCCCTCTGTGGCGCGCTGAGTGTGGGTGGTCCTGGGAGGTGATTCTGGCCAGCCTGCTACATAGGGGTCAAGTCATCACGGGTTACACTTGGGAGCTAAGATTTATTCCATGGGCATTTGTAGCATGAGGTAACTTAAGAACCATTGTGCGTTGAAATGCTCCCTCAGCAGTGAGACTCCCAGCCCCGTTCTGGGAGCCGGGAGGGACGGTGGCAAGCCAAGGGACACTTTGGGTCCTCATGTCACAGAAGTGAGTTCTTCCCCCCAGGAATGTGGCAATGTCTGGAGACATTTTCACAACATGTGGCAGGAGTGCTCGTCCTGGCACCTAGTGAATGCACACCAGGGACATGCTACAGTGCACAGGACAGTCTCACCGTGAATTGCCCAGACCCAAGTATAAATAGTGCTGAGGCCGTGAAGCCATGGCATGGAGAGCAGACCTAACTGTAGAAGGAGTCTTGCTCTTCAGCGCTCTTTCAGCAACTCTGCTAGGCATTTACAAGAGCACAACATCTGTATTTTCCTGCATTTTCTGTATCTTCCTGATTGCTTTTACTCTTGTTCAAGCTCCCTGTACTTGGCCTTCATAGGGCAAATCACAATGTGTGATTTTGTAATTATTACATTCACATATACTATACAATACATAGTTTGTGTGATCTTTAATGCCTGCCTCCCTTACTAGACTAAGAGGTCCATGAGTAAAAGGTCATCTCGTCTGTCCCAGACACCAGCAATAATACCTGGCTTCTAGTTAGCACTCAGTAAGATATATTAGTAAGTGGAGAGTTCTGGTGGGGGTGCAGAGAAGTTGAGACATGCAAAGCTGCTACACCCCAAATCTAAACTGGACCTGCTGGGAGAGGGCCACAGTGACATGGAGAGAGTGGGTCAGTCTTCACCGTGTGACTCTAAAGCTGACCTGAGCTTAAGGCTTCAAGCAAGAATGGCCTTCCTGCCTAGGAAGGTGGGCTGGCTGCCTCTGGGGTGCCTCTCCCACTCAGCCTGGATACTGAGCTAAGGAGCTGGTGCTTTCAGACCAGGGAATTCCTGCCAGTCCTGCAGGCTCCCTCCCATCGTCCCACACACAGCTCTCAGCCACTTGACAAAGCGGTCTGCAGAAGCCTGCCTGCAGGTTGCCGGAGAGAAAGGGGACAGCAGGAAGTGAGACATGCAGACCGCCCAGCAATGACCATGCCGCAGGGGAGATCCTGAACCATGCTCACTGCAGCGCTAGTCACAATAGCCAGACACGGAAAGAGCCCAAGTGCTCATCAGTAGACGAATGAGTAAGGAAAATCCTGCCATTTGTGACACCGTGGATGAACATGGAGGATACGAGGTACCGTAAGTGACACAAGCCAGTCACAGAAGGAAAACACTGCATGAGTCCATTTACACGGGGTATCTAAAATCGTCAGTCATAGCAGCAGAGAACAAATGTTGGTTGCCAGGAACTGAGGGCTGGGGGCAATGGGGAATTGTTCCATTGTTTCAGTCTTGCTAGATGAGTAAGTTTCAGAGATCTGCTGTACAACATAGTGGCTATAATTACAACACAGTATTTTATGCAATTCAAAATGTATGGAGAGGGCAGATCTCATGTTAAGTGTCCTTACTATAAAAAACAAACAAACCAAACATGCACACACACGCGCGCACACACACACACACACACACACACAAAGGGACACAAGAAAACTCTAGAGATACTGGGTGTCTCTGTTACACTGATTGTGGTGATGGTTCATGGCTGTTGCATATGTCCAAACTTCTCAAATTGTACACAGTAAATATGTAGAATTCTTTGTATATCAGTTACACCTCAATAAAGCTGTTAAAAAAAAAAAGAGGCCTCATGGTCAGATTGACATGGGATGGAAAAGGAGCTGGGAACCTCCATGGCTGATTATTTACTCAAGAGCGGCATTTACCTAAACTCTGGAGAGATGTGGATGAGACTGGGGCAATAGTAAAAATGTCCTTATGCTTTCCCAAAGGCTGCCCTGTTGAGCTGACAGCTTTGCCACCTAGAGCCGGATGAAATAAAATAATGTGTCCTCTCTGGAATACTGGAAATACTACATAGAATTTTCTGAATGAAGAGATGGCATTAAAGAGGGAAATCACAGAAAAAAAATCTTAACATTAAAAATCAAGGAACTTTTATCTCTGAAAAGACACGGTTTCACCCCATTTCACACTTTCCCTAGCTGACATTGAATTTTTTTTCAACAACCTTAATGAAAGGATCATAATACTGAAGACATTTCAGCAAATAGTTTTTTGTATTATATTTGAGATATTAATTTCATTGGGTCTCCTGATTTATTTAAATTCAGTGTAGTTTCCTTCTGTTCTAAAAGGGTGAATCTATTTCTCACACACACACACACACACACACACAAAGGGACACAAGAAAACTCTAGAGATACTGGGTGTCTCTGTTACACTGATTGTGGTGATGGTTCATGGCTGTTGCATATGTCCAAACTTCTCAAATTGTACACAGTAAATATGTAGAATTCTTTGTATATCAGTTACACCTCAATAAAGCTGTTAAAAAAAAAAAGAGGCCTCATGGTCAGATTGACATGGGATGGAAAAGGAGCTGGGAACCTCCATGGCTGATTATTTACTCAAGAGCGGCATTTACCTAAACTCTGGAGAGATGTGGATGAGACTGGGGCAATAGTAAAAATGTCCTTATGCTTTCCCAAAGGCTGCCCTGTTGAGCTGACAGCTTTGCCACCTAGAGCCGGATGAAATAAAATAATGTGTCCTCTCTGGAATACTGGAAATACTACATAGAATTTTCTGAATGAAGAGATGGCATTAAAGAGGGAAATCACAGAAAAAAAATCTTAACATTAAAAATCAAGGAACTTTTATCTCTGAAAAGACACGGTTTCACCCCATTTCACACTTTCCCTAGCTGACATTGAATTTTTTTCAACAACCTTAATGAAAGGATCATAATACTGAAGACATTTCAGCAAATAGTTTTTTGTATTATATTTGAGATATTAATTTCATTGGGTCTCCTGATTTATTTAAATTCAGTGTAGTTTCCTTCTGTTCTAAAAGGGTGAATCTATTTCTTCCAAGCACATTTCCATATCCTTGCATGTAAATTGGGCATTGTTGTGTGCTACCGAGGAAAACACAAGGCCACATACAGATGTTGCTATCAAAGATACTTACGGAAGAGAAATTAACTCTAGAGAAATCAGCAGACCTCAAGCTGGGGTGTCTTGCTTGAGGCCAGCTTGCCTTCCTTTCTTAGGACTGGCAAAAACGGAGCAGGAAGTCCTGATCAGTCAGTCCTTCCAGCAAGAATCCTCTATCCTCTTTCAGTATGACTCACGGACTCTGGGAATGTATCCCAAACTTCAGTAGTGGGGTCTGGGAGCTGCAGAATGCCATGGCTAAAGAATGAATTGCAACTAATGAGGAAAGGTGTCTCCACAGCTGTGGAAGGGGTGAACCAAGGATAAACAAAATAGGAACAACAACAAAATCCTTTTTAGCCTGAAAAATGAAGCAAGAGAAAATCAGGGGAAGTAAGTTTTGATTGCATCCATTGCCCAGAGAGAAAACAGCAAAAACAGTTTAATTTTGAATTCTTCTTGAGTCTTCTAACGAGGCAACATTTCCAGAGAAAAATAAATTGCTGATAAAAATCACAGGGCCTTGGGTAAATCCAGAAAACATGAAGTCTGGGGAAGATGTGATTACAATTGACAGCAGAGATGAGAGATTTCAAAGTCCTGTGTGCACCCCGGTTGACTAATTGCTGATTTTGGAGGCGGGGCGGTATGATTTGTTATATTTAGAAGATGTTTGGAAACCATGAGAATTTTAACGAGATACCTCATGCACGTGCATGGCTGCTGTAGTCCAATTGCTTTAAGATTGTTTGGACATATTTTGAGGAGGAAACTATGGGAAAACTAGATGTTAACTTCCAAATATGAGAAACACTGCCTTTAGAACAGTGATTCCCAAACTGTAGTTATTCAAGCATCATTTTCCTGATTTTTGCTGTATTCCAGAGTCTGCTTACTCTTCATCATTTAAAATTTTCTTCATATTTTTTCATTAAACTTTGTACTTTAAAGGAAACACCATATCAATAACTTAAATGTCCTAAAGAGAAAGTAAATGTAAAAATAAGTACAATGAAAATGAGACCTTATTGAATTTGCACTAAGTACTATTGTAGCAGAAAGCTCTGAGCCTGTTCTTTGTTAAAAGAATTTCGTTGAACACTGAGCCCTTCTCCTTGGGTTTATCAGAAAGACTGTGGGAATTGGCAGAGGGGCTGCTGCTTCTCTCTCACTGCGAGATTTAAGTTTATTTCTGCTGTGTCCTGATGGCAACTGCCACCCCACCCCACACTTTGGGAAATGTTCCTTTAGAACAGAGAAGAGACTTGCCTATGTGCTCCAGAAAGCCAGACTAGAACCAAGGGATGGAAACTTGCAAAAGGCATGTGATGGGTCAGCATAAGCAAGCCACTTCTACAGCAGCATTACCAGTGA